GTAATTCCTTTTTATATCTTTCAGGAGTTTCTTTGAAGAATGGAAACTGGCCATGCTCTGGAAGTGAATTAAGAGAAGGGCTTGTTTCATGGAATACTTCAAAAGTTACTAAGGTGCTCTTTCTATCATCATTATTTGATTTACAATTTTTCCCTTAGTCTTTTTGCTACTACATTTTAGTTATTGCTGTGTCTGCCCTAGGTAAGATTAGGTGTAAAAGAAGCATGAGTTGCTTATGGCAGGGTCTGACCTGCAGAGGTGGGTTTTAAGATGGAGTAGAATTTCATATAAACCGGAAATTGCCAGGCATGGACGATCAACTTCCTCTCTATTTTTGGACCAAGCAAGCACAGCAGTTCCAGGCACAGCAGTTGCAAGCCCAGCAGATACAGGCACAGCAACTGCAAGTGGAACAAGTGCAGCAAGTCCAACAGGTCCAACAAGTACAACAAGTGCAGCAGTTACAGCAAGTTCACACAGAGCCAACAGATGGTAAATATACTTGTCTAGAATGTGGAAAGACATTCTCCAAGCGAAGCAGCTTTGAGTATCACAAGAAGACCCACACAGGTGAAAAGCCTTTCAGCTGTGGCATTTGTGGGAAAGCTTTTGCAAACAATCGCAACCTTGTGGTTCATACCAGGATTCATACGGGGGAAAGACCATATGAGTGCTCAGAATGTGGGAAAACATTTACACAAAGAAGTATGTTGACTGTCCATCTGAGAATTCACACTGGAGAAAGACCATATCTTTGCAATGAGTGTGGGAAATCTTTCTACCAAAGTGATCATTTAACAAAGCATAGCAGAATCCACACAGGGGAGAAACCATACTCTTGTGAAGAGTGTGGAAAGGCATTTTCAGATAGTAGTGCTTTAAGGCAACATATTAAGAGGCACCAAGAAGTAGGACCTTTTAGATGTGAGTACTGTGAAGAGCTTTTTGATAAAAAAGTTTCATATGATGTACATATGATGGAGCACAAAGGCATTAAGCCAGAAGAGTGTGATGTTTGTGGAAAGCAGTTCCCTACCAAAGGACTTCTTACAAATCATAGAAGAACTCATTTCAAAGAAAAAGCATTTAGATGTGAACTTTGTGATGAAGAATTTATGAGATTAGTGACTTTAAAGAAACATGTGAAATATGCACATGGCCATGGGACGTCTGGACGTGTTCCACCAATCTATGATGACAGACCAACAAGAAAGCCATATGGTGAATCAAAACCTTTTAAGTGTGATGAATGTGACATGACATTTACAACAAATGGTAAATTCTTAGCCCACCAGCACACTCATCGGCCAAATAAACAGTTCAAGTGCGATGATTGTGGTATGTGTTTTGCAAAAAGTTATACTTTAGAGGTTCACAGACAAATGCATGCTAGTGCTCCTCAAGTAATTCAGAATGGACCAATCCCAATCAATGCAATGACTTCCATTGGATCTATAACTCCAATGTTGAGTGTACCAGCATCAGTGACAGTGCCACAGACTTCAAATAAAGTCACAGCATATGTCAAAGTTCCACAGCGCCCAGTTGCTGTTAAACGGGAGCCTCGTTATGATGATCCTCTTGCCATGGCTACTGCTGCTGCTCAGGTGACACCAGATCTTGTAGAAAGTCTCACTGTGCCTGAACAGCATCAATCATACAATTATATTTATTCAGCCCAGGGTAAAACTATGTATACAAACAAGTTCCGTAAGTGACTCTATGAAAGCACGCATGACAGGCATTATTTTGAATAAACTTTTATATATGCTTTGATACTTAACAATTATGAATATCTTATAATTATCTGACTTCATGATACATTTTGCATTCATATTTCCTTATCGCATAGATTGAATTTCCAAAATATATTTATATTGATCAAATAATATGGGTTACAATGATAAAATCAGTCAGCACAAATAGTACCTAGAACTTGTCTAAATAAAACTTAATTACATAGAGTGATATATTTAGATTGACAATTTGCTGAGAAATTAATTGCAGGATAAAGTTTGCATTGAAAAACAAATTAGCTTTGACATTAAAACACAAGAAAAGGATGTTTGCAAGTTATGGCATTGATGAATTATTTCAAAACAGCTTTAAGAGTTTACAAATTAACTTAACACTTGGCATAGCAAACTTAAAGGTATTAATTGTGTGGCTGAATGCTTTGTGATGCCAAATGAGTTCAGGCACTGGTGCCAAATATATATGACTCTTGGAAGGAACAATTTTCTTCAGGCTTACCTATAAGCAGTCATATTTTTGTGTAAAAGTTAGTCTAATTATTTTATTAAGACAGTTAACAGAAGGACAGAAGTAGCTTTAACAACATGCACATTATATATAGTACTTAATTTTGTAAATTTTGTATTTGCTCATTGAATTATTAAGGAACATGAAGTCTTTGTTTTCCTATGATCGTTATATATGATACTTATATGTATACTTCATTTTTATTTCATTCTTTGAGATACAGATGTTCATAACAAAATCACTGCATTTTGTTATTTATTATCATTAAGTTTTGCTTTGTGTAAATAGAACAGCCTCCCCATATGCACTTGTGCATGTTATACATGCACCTGAACACCTTCACATTCATAACCACCAATTCATGAAAACATCAACACATGCACATGTAAGCACACACACTCTTTGACACAGATACACAAGCTCCCACACAATACACACACACGCACACGCACACACGCTCGCACACGCACACACACACACACACACACACACACACACACACACACACACACACACACACACACACACACACACACACACACACACACACACACACACACACACACACACCACACACACCACACACACACACACACACACACACACACACACACACACACACACATTATTTTTTGATTCATTGTCCTATTAGGGATCATGAAAGGCAAGTGAAAATATACTGAATATTGTAACAGAAATTAATGCTTTATGTTGTGGCACAAACCATGTAAATTATATTGTAGCTGAAATTGGTTAATAAAAAGATATATGTAATTATTTCCAGTGATTAACCTTTCTTGGGAAATGAAGGGCAGTTTGGCAGCCTCAAGTATTACAATCACCTTGCTTTTCATGACCTCTGCTCTTTTGGGTTTTAACTGGACCTTCCTGCATGGGGAGGGATGAAATTGATAAAATAACCTAAAGTGATTGCATCTTACAGATTGCTGCATTATATTGTGTATAAAAAATTGTGCAATTCTTGATACAAATTTTTAAGGCTTTTCCCTTCATTGCTGTACAGATAACTCAAGTTATTGAAGATCCAAAGGAATGAGAAAAGATATGTGTAAACTTGACGGAGTTGACTCATATCTAGTAATAAATCAATAAGTGAATAAAAAATTAATTGTATTCTTTATTAATTATTATTATTTTTATGTAAATATCCTTAGGAAAAGAGGTTTTGTTTTTTAAAATATCCAGTGCAGTTACATACAAAAATTGTAATATTAATGTAACTAGATTTTAAGTTAATCTAGTGAGTTATTTGTGCAACAACTTGAAGAAAAATATTTAAGGAAAATGCAAATATTGTCAATATTCTTAGTTGATTTTATTAATTTTATATTTGGAATTATATCATCCCCTAAACTCGTTTTTTATTGCATGAAAATAGAAAATCTGATTTATGTGTAATAAAAACTAAAAAAAAATCGCAGGCAGATATCCTTTTAGGAACTCGCCTCCTTGAGGGTAGAAAATTAGATTGAGTTGCCATAAAAAGTCAAAATGCAGATTTTCTAAGAGAAAGTTAGCTTTAAAAGCTATAATGTTACAGATAAAAAAAATATATATTGTATGTAATTTATTGTCCTATTTTTTATTTAACAAATGAGAATACCTACGGAGAGGGGGAACCCTCCCCCCCAAAAAAAAGTATTACTTTTTGCACTGTCATACTCAATTTTTATAATGCATGTGAACATTAAAAAAAAAACATATATGCCTAAGCTTTAGTAAAGTGCTTTTTATATGGTTATTGTTATTCAATTGGCTAAAAGCATGTTGTGTTACAGCATACGCTAAGCTGTATATAAATTTCCTTTTTATTCTGGTTACTCCCCACTCTCGCCATTTAGGTATGAGAACTATGTTGTGATAAACATGTAATATCAACACAAACACAATATGAAAAATATTATAAATCTGGAGGATATAATTGTTTTTATGGCACTTTAATCTAATTTACTAGCCAGTAAAAAGGCCAAGCAAACTAACATGTACTAATAGTTTGCAGCTTACATAACAATCCCATTTCATAGACTCTAGTGTTTGCATGGGTAAGTCTTTAGATATGTAGGCATTCAAATCCAATATTGACGTTAATTATGATTTCCTAAATCAAATCCACCCCCCCCCCCCACCCCATCACTCAGGACTTTCCCCTAACTCTATATCTGGACCTTCAAAATTCTGAAATATTTTGTTCTGTAATTCGTTGGATTTTGATATGTATATAGTTTTATTATTATTATTTTTTTTTTTATACTTTATTGAGAAATACATTTTAGAAGTAGATATGAAAAAAAAAATGCCAAACACGAAAGGTGAGGAAATGAAAGGTAAAACTTTGACTCTAGGTTTCTAGATCTAGTGACAGTATTTGGTTCTCCAGATATGGATGCTTTATGGTGGGCTAATGTTGAGGATCATTGCTTAATGATAATTTTGTTTTATATGATGATAACCATTTTAGAAATGATCAAGTTTGTTATGATTACTATCAGTATTACTGTTTGATTATTATTTTTTTATCTTTGTTATTTTTATTCTTGTTACCATAATAGTCATTGTCATTATTGTCACCATTTTTGTCTTTTTCTGTTTTATTGTTTTGATTATTTTTTATTGTTATTATTATTGTTGTTGTTTTATAATCATAATTATCACAGTCTCAGTCTTCATCTTTCTCTTCATCATCATTGACTATCATGGTCATCTGTGTTATTGTTATTGTTATTTTAAAATTAATTATTAATAAGTTATTGATTATTATTATTATTATGATTATTATTATTGTTGTTATAATTGTTATGACTTTTGCTTGTCATCATAATTCTAATAATTATATAATTATTTTACTTGATTATTTATTTATCTTCAAGCCATTTCTTGTGAAGATGACATATATATACATATATACATATATATGTATATTCATATGCATATGTATATGCATATGCATATGCATATGCATATGTATGTGTATGTGTATATGATATATATGTGTGTATATAATATATATGTAAATGTATATAATAAATATGTATATGTGTATAATATATATGTATGTAATATAATATATATATATATATATATATATATATGTATATAAATATGTATATATATATATAAATAAAAATAATGTTATATGATATATTAATATGTATATGTGTATATAAAATAAAATATATATATATATATAGTATATTATGTGAAAGAAATGATAATTAGTATAAGATATAATTATATATATATATAATAGATATATAATAATAATAATAATAATAGATAATATATATATATAATATATGGAGTGCTGTGTGGGTTTGTGTTGTGTGTGATAGATGTGTGTGTGAGTGTGTGTGTGTAGTAGTGTGATGTGATGTTATTAATATAATATATATATGCTATATGTGTATATAATTATAATATGATTAATATGTTCTGTATATAATATATATGCTATTGTGTATAATAATTATTATATATGTATGTAGTAATGTATATATAAATATATAATTGAAGTATAGTGTGTTATTATAGTAAATACATATATATTTGATAAATATTGGATGAGATATATAAAAGTATATATAATTAATTTGGATGAATAATATATCAAGATATAATATGAGATAATGTGATATATAATATATATGTATAATGATTAATATATAAAAGTATAATAATATGTATTGAATAATATTAAAGTATATATTGTATAGTAATGTGTAATAAATATATATTGTATTGTATATGTGATATATTAAATAGTTTAATGAATGTAATATATATGTATATGTTGTATATAAAAATAAATAGTATATGAGATATAATGATAAAAAATATATATGTATATGTGTAATATAATATAAATATGCCATGATGTTAGTATATAAATAAATATATGCATATAATGTGTATAAATAATATAATGTATAATATATTAATATAATAAATATAGTTAAGTAGATAGTAATATATATATATATATATAATATAAAATTATATATATTAATATATATATGTTGATAATTATATAGATGTATTAATATGGATATAATATATGTAGTATATATGTGTATATAAGATAAATATGAAAATATATGGATGAAAGATAAATATAGTCAATGTGTGAATATGAAATATTATTTGTGATATATATAATGTTAATGAATATATATAGAAAAAATGAATATATGGAGTTGATAAAAGTAATAATATGAAAGAAATAGATAATATATGTACATATATAATGTATAGAAATATATATGTAATATAAATGTATGATATAAATATATTAATATCCATGAAATTATAAAATATGATTATAATGAAATATGAGTACTATGATAATAAATATATATAATAATATATATATGAGATAATATGTAACATGAGAATATAATATATGTAAATATGAAATTTAATAAGTATTATAAGCTGTAAATGATAATATTAATTGGATATATGTATATAAAATATATAGGTAAATGTACTAATGTAATATATATAGTAATAATATATATGTATATGTAAATTATGTTAAATATTAATATTATGTATATATATTATGTTAGATAATATATATGTTAAATGTATAAATATTATATGAATAATTATAATGTTATATATTATATAATATATGAATATATAATATAATTAATATATATATAAATGTTATGTTGAGTACCATATGCAATATACAAAAGATAACTAGACAGATAATACATATGTTAAATATTAATTACATTATATATATATCAATGTATATAATACATATATCAATATAATATATATTTAACAGTAATATATATAAATAATATAATAATATATATACAATATAAACATATATATTATTATATATACTAATTAATAATATATATTATTAAAATAAATAAATGAAAAAATATAATATTATACATTAGTATATATTATATGTATTATTAATACTCAAATATACTAATATTAAATATATACATAAATATACATAACATAATGTAACATATATATATACATTAGAAAATATATATATATACAAGTATATATACGATAAATAGTTACAATACATATATATACTACATAATATAAACACATATATATAGTTATATATAAGGATGACATAACATATATAATATACAACATATATTATAGTGAAAAATATGTACATGAATAATAATGTAATGTATTATAATATGTATACATGTATAGTATATGTATATAGTAGTATATGTATATGTTGTTGTATATGTTATATGTGATATTATTATATATATATATATATGAGTATATGTATATGTATATATTATGTATAGTATATATGATATAATATTATGTATATATATATGTATTATAATATATATATATATATATATTAT